TCTCACTGTTGAAGAAACAAATCACAAATAAGCCAAGAGGGAAGAATAAAATTAATGCTATGACGATGGATTCGAATCTGTAACAGTACGAACTCACGATTTTTAATAAAGACATATACCATCAAGAGTATTCTACATGCTCCCAGTATATATATTTAAGATAAATAAATGGATAGAGACAGAAATAAATACAGGTGTGTGCTTATGTGTCTCTGTGTGTGTGTGTGTGTGAGAGAGAGAGAGAGTAAACGGACACATAGCTACTCTCAGCTCTAGGCCTAGAAGCAATAAAACCCTGTTAGCAATGAATGCACTTAATATCAAGAGCTTTGTTTCTAAATACTATTTTCCAATAGAAAACTAGAATTCTCTGAGGAAATGGTTGATTACAGGTTTGAGTAAGGCAAACAAAATAAACCTAAAATATCTTGTGATACCAGAAAAAAAGAAGTTGTCAAAAATTATGGGGCTATATTAAAAGAACACAGAGGTCTAACTTAAAGGAACTCCCAATTATCAAATCCAGAAAAATAAATGGAAAATTAAAAATAAACAACGATTGCAATATGTAACAACCCATAAAATAAGATATCTACAAATCCATACTGATGTAAAGTAACAGCTGAGTACAAATAAATGGAGAACAGTTCTTCCTTACAGTCAAATTCCAATGAGTAAGCAGAGAAAGTATCATGGAAATAGAAACCATCACTAGTCAAACACCGTAATCAAAACTGCTGTAGGCAAGAATCTTCAATTAATGCTGAAATTAGATGAAATAAAATATTTGCATAGTCTCAAAGTATCTCCTCGTAAAATATTAATTACAAAGAAATGAGAACTCACTTTGCAGAAGATAAACCTGGCAGACACTACCTTAAACAAGTGATCATATTTATTATCAAGAAATAAGACATTGACATCATGTACCCCAGATATGATCCACAGAAAAGGGCACACTATTACTGCTGTGTTATCTTTTGTCAAAAGTTCATAACCTTAATCTCTTAATAAAAAATATCAGACAAATCCAAATTGGGGACTAGTGTACAAAGTTATGGTCTAGTATTCCTCAAATGTGTCAATTTAATGAAATACAAAGAAAGACTGAGGGAGCTCTCCCAGATTTGTAGTTGGGAGAGAGGGCAAAGGAAACACACCAGATAAATGCAATATGGGATCTTGAATCGGATCCTGGACAAGATATAAAGGACATTAGTAGGATAACTGGAAAATCTGAATATGGTCTGCAGACTGGTTAATAGTATTACATTAATTTCCTGATTTCAATAATCACTGTGTGCAATAAGGCTATAATAAAGATTATATAAAATGCTAATATCCAGAAAGCTGAGTACAGAATACACAGGAACTCTACTATTTTTGCAAATTTCCTGTAAGTCCAAAATTACTTCAAAATCATAATTTAAAAGTTGGGAAAAACAAACAAATTTTACTAAAGAAGATTTACAATGGGATAACTTCTTGAAAAACTTGTTGCCTTCTTAAGCGGTCAAATTTCAAACTGAAGTCACAACAAAATATCACCTCACATCCACTTAATAGATAAGACTGACAATTTCCAATGTTGGCCAAAATGGATAGTAACTAAATATCTTGTATTACTGGTTAGGAGTGTGAAAAGCATCCAATTCTTTAGAACGCTCTATCAGTTTCCTATAAAGTTAAGCGAAAATCTGTCTTATAATCAAACAATTTTTTTTTTTTTTTTTTTTTGAGACTGAGTTTCGCTCTTGTTACCCAGGCTGGGGTGCAATGGCGCGATCTCGGCTCACCGCAACCTCCGCCTCCTGGGTTCAGGCAATTCTCCTGCCTCAGCCTCCTGAGTAGCTGGGATTACAGGCACGCGCCACCATGCCCAGCTAATTTTTTTGTATTTTCAGTAGAGACAGAGTTTCACCATGTTGACCAGGATGGTCTCGATCTCTTGACATCGTGATTCACCCGCCTCGGCCTCCCAAAGTGCTGGGATTACAGGCGTGAGCCACCGCGCCCGGCATGATCAAACAATTTTTAGGTATTTACATAAGAGATCTGCTAACACTCAAAACAGCTAAAATCTAGAAATGACTCAGGTGTCCATCAACAAGAGAATAGATAAACAAACTGCAATATGATCATTTAGTGAAATACTACAAATATTAAAAAAAATTTAAACTAATGATATAGGGAGTATCATTGATAAATTTCAACATCATAATGATGAGTGGAAGAAGCCAGACACACAGTGTGATTCCATTTATATTAATTTCAAGAACAGGCAAAACTAATCTATAATCATAGAAATTAGAAATCACGTTCTTTTTTTTTTTTTTTTTTTTTTTTGAGAAGGTGCTTGGTTGGAAAGAGGGAGTAGGGTAGGTTCTCAAATAATAAAAATATTGCATCTCCTGAATGGGATATAATTATTTTTAAGAAAACTTACTGAATTATACAATTACTACATATATATCAATGCATTTAACTATGTAAATTTTATCTATGTAAAAATATGTTATTAAAATTAATAGAGAAGCTCCACCTGGCTATGTAACCATCAGCTAGGAATACTGCAATATTTTTATATTACATAAGTTATGAAAGAAAGTTATAAACAGTATAAAAGCATATGTTTGTGTGTGTGTATATATACACATTTAAAAATAAAATTTTAAAAATGTTTATGGGAGACAAAAAGTGTTATGATTTCTCTAGCTTATTTGAAAATAGTTAAAATTAACCTGAAGTAAGTATGGCAAAATGTTGATAATGGGGAACCGATTCCAGTTCCTTATATGTGCTAGTTCACTGTTCTGTTCTCCTCATATACTGTATGTTTACAATGTGTTCATAATGAAAAGTTTTATAAAATGCACAGCAAGATAAAACTTTCATTGCCAAGAACAAGTGAAAATGAATGTATTACACGTATTTAAGAATTTATTAGGAAAAGAAAAGAATAGAGAAACAATATATATAAGTAAATTAGAACCTTAAAAATTAACTGATAAATTATACCAAAGACCTGATTGAGGTAGCGGGAACAGGAAAGCTAGGTGATGCTAAATATCCGCAAGTTAAACTTAATCATTGACAAAGGCACAACAGAAATGACTATAAATGGAATGAAAATGAATATATAATTGAAACGAGAAATTTAATAGAATGACGAAAGAGAACTTTGTATAACTTAATGCTAATGTGTTTAAAATCTGCATGAACTGTGATTTGCTAAGAGAAAACAGGTTAAATAAGACACAAAACAAAGAACAAGCAATAACCATACAAAAAAAAGGGGGGGGGGAACCCTTCTAGATAGCTTCCCTTCTAACTCCAAACCACCAAAAACAAAGGAGAGTCCAAACTTAAACAGTGATAGTGAGACTACAGCTTTTTTTCTTTAAAAAACCAACTCTAGAACATAGTATAGAAAATCCTTAACAGAGAGTATCTGACATGAAAACTTGACAAAAATAGCACAAAAAAGAAAAATCACAGATCAATTTGACTTAGTTGTACACCTGTAAAAATTACGAATCAAATTAAAATACCCACGATTAAGTAGTAAATTAAAAGAATAAAACATGTTTTAACTACCAGTAGAGTCTGTTCATTCAAGGAATAAGAGGAAGTTTCAATAGTAAATTAATTCGTAGTGACAAAAATCTTTAAAAAAGAACAGTAAAATTGTTTCTGTAAAAAAAAAATTTAATTATATCTACCACCTGGTTTTGATAAAGATTCCTTACAAAATATCAAAGGTGAAAGACTTTACTAACATGATAAAGTATTTCACACTTAAAATCAGCATTTTACACATTGATGATTAAGACTACCCATGTCAAAATAACTTACCTATTGGGAATAAGACCTGATACCACCCCCAGCAGAGTCCTGCCCAGCAAGATAAAACTGTAAACCAATAAATAAATTCAGTTTGCTTATCTAAACAAATAGCTTTTCTATCATTGATAACACCTCTACATAAGAAAATAGCTCACCTAGACAATGATTTGATCATCAAAACTCACATTAAGAACCTCATGTCACTTTCCCACCAATCTTAAAGTATTGCATTATAAATTTTGCCCATTTCTAATCAGTTCCCTGCCCAAACCCCAAAGCCTCATTTCCTGATTTTGAAACACTATTAAACCCTATCAAGGTGGTGTTTTCCCTTGCTGCAAGTAAGTTTAATAAACTCAGCTTTGCTTGATCATAGCTCTTTCTGGTGGTCTTTGGGAGAAAATGACCAGCAACAATGTGCCAGCCAAACCAAAGGAGCATTCCATTAAATCCTGATTAAATCAAGGGTGGGTAGTATTTCCATAACTGTTCAAGTGTTCTGATAGCAACAGTCTGTGGACTTTGTCAACATAACTAAAATCAGGATCCATATGAAGGGGGAAAATTAAAACCTCGAATATTTGCAAAGGATTTAGTCTGTACTTTGAAAAAATCTGAAAAGCAACAAGAAACAGTCAGGTGACCACTTACCCCCAAAACAAAACAAAACAAAACAAAACAAAACAAAACAAAACAAAACAAAACAAAACTTTAGATACAAAAAATGAACAAGAAAATAAATTAAAAGAAAAACTCCCATCACCAAAGTGAAAATATTAACAGTAATTAAAATTATTGAATAAAAAATGACATACCTTGTCCTTGGATACGAAGACTTAATATTTTTAAAAACCAATTTATCCCCTCAATTAATTTATTAAAGTTGATGAAATTGCAGTCTAAACTGTAATTTCTTCCAACGAGAAGACACATGAGACAGGAGGCAGAAGAAGAGACACACAAATCCACAGAACAAAAATGGAGCCAGTCACAGATGAGAGTACAGCACATATGCGCAAGATGGCGGTACAGATAAATGGGCAATTATTGGCAAATAATAGCAGGTAATGGCAAGTAACTTGGCAACTTTAAGATTTCAAAACAAAAAAATTTCTCATGATTTAAGAATTTGAATTAAAAAAAACACAAAAGAATTAGAATTTAACATAGGTGAAGGATTTTATGGACTCAGTATATATATTAATCTTTCCAAAAATGACATGAAACTCGGAAGCCATAAAAGCAAACATGATTATACTTTGACATATAACAATCATACACATTCTTATAACAAAAACAAAGTTAAAAAGTGTGTAAAAAATAGCTATAATGGTTGACAATCCAAATCTTAATTTTCCAAAATAGTAAATGAGCTCTTTGAAATCCAGAAGAGACTAAATCCTCCTCCCACCCACAAAATTGGACATAAAGAAGAAATTAAAAAATACAGATGGCTAATAAACATGAAAAAATGACCAAACTCAAAAACAAAAGAAATACAATTTAAGACAATAGTTGGGTGATCACATTGGCAAAAATTTTAAATATTTATGAAATCCATTGTCTGTGAGGTTGTAGGAAAGCTGGCAATCTCATTCATTGCCATTTGAGGATAAAGTTGTTAACCACATTTTTTGAAGGCAATCTTGCAATAATTTTCAAAATATGAAGTGTGCATATACTTAATCCCAGTAATTCAACTGATAATAATTTATTATGATATAATAGACAAATGCAAAATTATTTATATAGAGGGAGGTTCATTGCACAGAAATTTGGTGCTAACATAAATATCTATGAGTGAGAAATGCTTAAAACATTTAATTATATTTCATCTACAAAACATTCATGTCATCATTCAACAAATGACACAGATGTGTATGTATTACTGAAAAAGAAAAAGGCCATTGAATAAGAGCTGCTAAATGAAAGAGGTAATTTGCAGAAAAATGTGTTACAATATGGCCACACTCCCGGATCCTTCCCCAAAATGGCTTGTGTGTATGTGTGCATCTGTGTGCTAAAGAATGCATGTAGCTCACTCAATAGAGGAAAACTAAGGGACAGAACTGGAAGAGAGGAGGGCATTTAATTCATATATTATTTAAATATGCTTTGAATTTTTGAAAAAATCATGCAGAGTTTCTTTTTAATATGTCTCTATTTTTCAGTTTACCATGTGGCAAATGAAAATTATAAATGTATATTTATGGGAATACTGAGCAATTCCACCATTTTGAGCATCTTGTGTAATATTATATCCTCTACTGAGGCTCCTGGGATTGAGTCAAGTGGCAGCAAGGGAAACAGTCACCATGCCCAAATTAAAGTCTCATCGATGATATCCCAACATGAGCATTTCTCAGTTAAGCATTTCTTATCTGCAGGAGGTATCCACTGCAACACAGGGAAGAGAGGAGTCTCCATGCATAAGGAAGACTGAATCAATGTTTTGGTGAACCTGGCAGTAGAAGGAATGGCACCAACTCAACAAATCCACCTCTTTGTGGCCATCACCTGCAAGGACAGAGTGGGAAAAGTGGCAAAGGTGAGAAACATATTTCCTAAGTAGTCATGGCGGTATGAAATCCCTCTTCAATCTTCCTCCTACATGTGCTAGAACAAATACAACCAGAGTGCAGAGAGAAAACCTCATTCCTAGCAGCTGGTTCCATGATGAGGTCAGAACAATGATACTAAAACTTCCTAATGTCAAGGATGCCAGATATTGGTGCTGCTTTTCCTCCTTCTACTGGGCTAAAAAGTGATAGACATCAATAACCTCAGGTTTCATGTCTGTCTCTTCCCTTCTGTTTCTTAAAGCTCTAGGTCATTCATTTATTTGATCAGTTATTTCAGACCAAACAGTTTGTTAACTTTCCAGTCTAACAGTTATAGAGAAGCTACTGTGTCTCCTGTGTACATCAGTGTTCTAGGATCACAGTGGATCAAGCCATGAGGAAGTTCAGTTTACTAGATGAGAGAAGATAAGGAAATCCTTCATATTAACAGTAAATGTACTGAGATGTAGAAAAAGCCGCTAAGGTATATAAGAAAAGCTACATCTCTTAACTCTTTGTGAAATCTTAGAATCAATTAGAATGTAATCACAACATCAATCTTCATAAAATTACAACCTTGATTTCTACCCAAACATGGCTTCTCCTAGAAGGCAAGGACTATTTTAACTAACACCTTACCTTTAGCGGGTGGCCGAGGCAATGCACACGTGAGGAGGCTCTTTGTCTAAGGGGTTGTTGGTTTGGTAGTTTGCTGATAACATTCACTCCCCAAAGAGTTCCAAGGAAGTCATGTTCTGAGGTGGGGAAAAAAAAAAAAAAAGAACCACCACTTCCAATGAAACAAGCAATGCAGCTGGAATCTGGAAATTTCTTCTCTGCTACTCTTTATACTGATTTAATTTGGAATCTGCCCCTTACTTACACAGTTCTGAAATTACAACCATCTAGTCCATAACCATACATTTCAGTGTCAGCACACTGCATCACGAACTTCCCTACTGCCCATTTCCAGATCTGACTGGATCACCCGAATCCCACCAAAAGTTACTTCTTTCTTTCTTTCTTTTTTTTGAGACAGAGTTTCACTCTTGTTACCCAGGCTGGAGTGCAATGGCGCGATCTCGGCTCACCGCAACCTCTGCCTCCTGGGTTCAAGCAACTCTCCTGCCTCAGCCTCCTGAGTAGCTGGGATTACAGGCACGCACCACCATGCCCAGCTGATTTTTAGCATTTTTAGTAGAGAGACGGGGTTTCACTATGTTGACCAGGATGGTCTCAATCTCTTGACCTCGTGATCCACCCGCCTCAGCCTCCCAAAGTGCTGGGATTACAGGCTTGAGCCACTGCACCCAGCCACTTCTTTCTTTATTAAAATCATGTCTTCTACTGCTTAGTTGGCCAGGTTATCCATAAAACTACTCAAGACAACCTACTTAAACATCTTTTTCAATAAAAGTTTATTGAGAACCTGTTCTGTGGCAGGCAATCCACAAGGTGCTTGTGTCACAAAATAAATGAACTGAAAAATTACCTGAACTTAAGAAATTAAAAATCCACTGGATGAATGAATCATACAAATAAAGAGCTGAGACATAATGGTCTTAAAGTGGCAGATTCGGTTTCAGGCTCAGATTGCCAGGGAAGAGCTGTTGTGACCACTTGCTTTTCACTCCTCAGAATGGTGTCTACCCTCAGCTGGCTCTCAGATGGGTTTTCATGCTATTTAACCAGAACCAAATGTCACCAAACTCAAGAAGAGCAAGATCTATCAACTCCTTCCATCCTAGGCCCATTTCTCATAAACCTGCAGTTCTCTGCCTACAAAGTCATACCTGCGAGGGTGTCCGACACACCACAGGTGGGCATAGTGAGCCACTGACCGGGGACTAAGTTGTCAGCTCATTCTCTGGAGTTTTCCTCTTGCTTCCTGACAAGTCAATAAACAAATATAGTAACAGTTATCACAATGTGGTAGCTTACAATTCTACCAAATAAATTTCACCGTATTCTATTTTCAAACATACTTTCCCCAAGATAATATTAGCTAACATTTCTAAGATGGGTATTTTATAAATGCTGTTTTTATCATATTTGAAAGTTAAGGCAAGGGCATGAACAGTCTCCCTTCCCTTCAAGGCTCTATCATCAACTGACATAGAAGAAAAAGAGAAACAATAACATTTTAAGAAAAAAAATGCACATATCAACATTTATCTATATGTTCATATAAACCACACATCCACATATAAACACATGCACGCGCACGCGTGCACATACACACACACACACACACACAAAATCTAATTTAACAATAAAATATTCAGGGAGTGTGAGTATCCTGTGCTGGGAAAAATGGATGTTGCTAAGTCCTTTGTGTGTCACATGCATAGACTTTAAATACACATTGCCCTCCTTTTACCCTGTAAGGTCCAATGGACACAGAGAGTGGCCAGGTAATAACTATGTTAGTAAGATAAAATATTCAGGTTCTATTAAGACTAGGTATTATAATAGAATGGGAATCTTTTATCAAGTAATAAAGTAATACAAATATTCTATCTCCTGAATGGGATAATGGGATATAGATTATTTATACCATTATATACAGGGCAATATAATCACAGTCTATTACCACCCAGTGAAGCCCAAGGAAAGCTTCTAAGAATTCCACTAACAAAGGACATGTTTCTAGCTCAACAATTTTCACAAGACCATCTTTACAAAAAAAATATACATTTCGATAATTCCTAACTATCTGAAAAGGTTGGATTAAACTAAGTTACTCTTATTTAAAAATATTAGTCTAAAATTTGCCCCCAAACAATAATCTAGTAAAAGAGAATATTCACGTGCAATAATCAGGACTATCCTAACCACCCTTCATTTAAAAGACATACATGAATAAAATATTTTGATATATGATTTGGAAGAATGCATGTAATACAAAATCATTTTTAACAACATCAATATAACTTGAAAGCCTAGATATGATAAATTGATATGCCTATATTCAGAATAGCTTCATAACTACACAGTGGCTTACATATGATTTACTGATCTCAGCCTTGCTGATTACCTAAGAGACAAATGTAAAACTGCACATATTTCAAACAGATGTGATAATAATATTCTCTGAAGCCACCTGCAAAACACTGCATCATAAATTTTACCAAATACATTTACAGGTTTTCTTCAACTGTCCTGTTCCTATCAACCATTAAAATGTCTTGAAATTGCAGATTCATGTAAAAAGTGTGAAGTTTTAACTTTACAAAAAAAAGTTAGGCCAAAAATATACAATAGCTAAAACATGCGTTTCTGAACAAAAACATACTGATAGGAGGCTATTGTTTTCTTTAATTAATTTTGTTGCTTTCTGACAAGTTGACAAAGGAATTTAGAAATATTTATCAAAATATGGTAACTTACAATTCTATTTTCAAACATACTTTTCACAAATAATTTTAGCTAACATTTCTAAGACAGATATTTTATAAATGTTTTTATCACATCTATATCTTTTATCATAAATTAGCATACATGTAGTAGCACTACATAATCGGTGTCCAAAAGAACTTTCTGTGGCAAAGGAAGTATGCTATAATTCCATCCTACAATATCAATTATGTTGATAATACATGATGTACAGTAACTTGAGAAAAATCACTAAATGGGTAAAGAGTGCAAACAGAGTGTTTCAGCCTGAGAATAACTGTGTTAGGAACAAGTTCCCATTCTATTTAATATAGCATTTTCAAGATAAAGAGCACCCTTCCAATTATTAGAAGAGATGTAAGATAAAAATAAAGATGGTAATACTTACAGGTCCTGAGGGGTACATGGAATGCCTGGAGTCCACTCACAGAGGTCAGGGAGCATGAGAGAGAGGGAAAGGGGAAAGGCAGAGAAAGAGACAGAGAGACAGAGACAGAGAAACAGAGAAACAGAGAGAGAGAGAGAGAGAGAGAGAGAGAGAGAGAGAGAGAGAGAGAGAGAGAGGCCAATCCCTTATTGGGTCAAGGGCATTATTACAACAGGGTTTCTGTGGAGACTTTTAAGTGATGGGTTTAAAGCAAGCAGGCATGAGTTCCCTGAGGTCACACTGTGACTGGGAGGTGAACAATGGTTCCATGAGGGGTGTGGTGATCAGAGGGCCAATCAAGTAGATTGCATCACACTGTCCCATGGTGAAGTGGTCCAAAGGAGGCACTTGGATAAGGCAGATATCTGGACCAACCACACTGAGGAACTGGGAGGAGGTGTAGAACTGTAAACTGTGCAAAGGTGACTAAGCCTTGCTTCTGGTATAAGAAAGTTAAACTTAGGCCGGGCACAGTGGCTCAAGTCTGTAATCCCAGCACTTTGGGAGGCCGAGGCGGGTGGATCACGAGGTTGAGAGATCGAGACCATCCTGGTCAACATGGTGAAACCCCATCTCTACTAAAAATACAAAAAAATTAGCTGGGCATGGTGGCGCGTGCCTGTAATCCCAGCTACTCAGGAGGCTGAGGCAGGAGAATTGCCTGAACCCAGGAGGTGGAGGTTGCGGTGAGCCGAGATTGCGCCATTGCACTCCAGCCTGGGTGACAAGAGCAAAACAACGTCTCAAAAAAAAAAGAAAGAAAGAAAGAAAGAAAGAAAGTTAAACTTATACTCAAGATTTGGATGCTAAGGCAACATAAATTTATAAGACTTCACTATACTCTTCCAATGCCCAACAGGACATACTGCTGAGGCCTCAGGGACATTCTCTCAATCACACATCTCATTCCAGCCTAGTATCATCTTTGTTCCCAAAAAGGAGAAACTGTTCAAACATTCTTGATACCCAGTACCTTTCTACTATAAGCTAAGCAGAGAAAACTCAAACATCCTAGAGTTTATAGGAATGAAAACCATGGAGGACTTACCATATGATTAATGTTGATACATGATTTGATTACAAGATGCTTCCCAAAATAGATCAAATTATTGCCTAGTTAAAACAATTCCCCACTGGCTACAAACATAATTGTTTAATTTATTTTTACTGCTGGGTGCAGTGGCTCATGCCTGTAATCCCAACACTTTGGGAGACCAAGGTGGGCAGATCACCTGAGGTCAGGAGTTTGAGACCATCCTAACCAATATGCGAGACCCCATCTCTACTAAAAATACAAAAATTAGCCAGGTGTGGTGTGTGCCTGTAATCTCAGCTACTTGGGAGGCTGAGGCTGGAGAATCGCTTGAACCTGGGAGGTGGAGGTTGAAGTGAGCCAAGATCGCACCACCGCACTCCAGCCTGGACAACAGAGCAAGACAGCCTCAAAAAAAAAAAAATTATTTTTACTACTCCTTGCAGAGCAGGGCTAACCCATAGACAGTGTTCCCAGCATAGCCAACAGATAAACTCAGAATGAGTGATATTGCTATGGGATCTTCTGGAAACCTCACAGAGATGAGCACTGAGACCAACGAGAATCAAAATGTCAATGCTGTGTTATTGAGAGGTATTTGCAATGAGAACTTTATATTTTTTTAACCAATGGGTTTTGTAAAGTGTGTTAATTTTCCAAATATTTTGTGACCTCCAAATTTATTTCTGTGTTGACTTCTAATTTAATTCCTCTATGGTCACACAACATACTCTAGAGGGTTGCAATCTTAAATTTGAATAGAGTTTTATAGCCTAACACATACTCTATCCTGGAGAATGTGATATGTGTGCTTGAAAATAATTTCTATTCTGTTGTTGGGTGAAGTTTTCTCTATCTACCTGTCATCTATCATCTATCTCAGGTGAAACTGGTTGTGGAAGTATGCTGTAACCTCAATGATGCCCTATGTAATTGACTCATCAGTGATTAGAAAGAGGGTATGAACAAAAGTTATCATTGTTAAATTGCCTATTGACCTCCCCAGTCATGTTGGTTTTCAGTTTATGTAATTTGGGGCAGTGTTGTTAGTGCTGACATGATTTTGATTGTTATATATTCCAGATTAACCCTTATATCATTAAATACTATACTTCTTCCTCTCCAGCAATACTTTATCTTAAAATCTCTTTTTTTCTAATGTCAGAATACCCACTTAGGCTCTCTTCTGGATTCTCTGGATATAGCATTTTCCATCTTTTTACTTTCAAACCATGTGTATCTTTTGTTCTAAAGTGTCTTTTTTATAGATAGTATATAGTTGTTCATGTTTTCTTAAAAAAATGGAATCTCCGAATCTCTTTAAAATTTTTAATATAATTGCCGTATGGCTAGGTTTATGTCTGTTATTTTCCTATCTGTTTTCTGTATGTCTTACAGGTTCCTCAGTTCATTCTTACCTGCCATCTTTTTTGTTAAATCTATTTTAATTCTTTGGTGGTTCTTTTAATATTTTTGAATTATTTTCTTATTAGTGGTCCAGGTGTTTACAAAATACACCTTAAATAATTACAACCTACCTCAGATTAACAGTAAATGTGTAACACGGCCTTTCATATTACTTGAAATCAATATCAGAGAAGCAGTTTTATGGCTCAGTTTGTACAGATTTCCAAAAGATATAGAAGCCATCATCAATACAGGCATATTTATAAAAGAAACCGTGAGCCTGAGATAGGCGACAGACACGGAACACTGAGGATTCTGTGACTCTTGGCCACGATGACACCATGACCACACCGTTAAGTCATAGAGACCAGGATACAGGAACAATGAAACAGCCACATTGCTCACTACCATTATCACTGGAATATAATTCCCTAAGAAGAATATAGCAATCTCTGGATAAAATGCTTACTGTGAGAATTCCCACTGGCCTGTGAGCATGGAATGGTATAATTATTTCTGATCCTTTCTGCCGTATTTCAAGGGGAATGTATAAACGCTTTCATAAGACATCCACATTTTGGTCTACATGGAATTGTGGAAATAAGAGTAAAAATATGGGAAGATGAGAAGTATACATGTACATTTGTCAAACATGCATAAGAAAGGAGGCCTTACTACGTATCTGCATATAAAATGTACTAATTTATTACTCTACTGGGATGTCTGATTGTACAAAAATTCTAGGAGAGGAACAGAGGCCTCGGATAACTCTTCAGGTTATTAATGCCTTACACTGTTTGAATTAACAGACTTTGTAAAAGCAATTCTAAGTTATTTAGTAACACAACAAAAATAATACAGACACTACATGTATTAAAAATTGGAATGTTACCCTTGGAGTGCATTGTTTTGGCCTTTCCTGGAGAAGGAAGCTGGTGCAAATGACTAAAACAGTACTTCTTTGGTGTGCATGTGAGAATTCCAAGGGGCAAAATGTTGTCTTCCACCAACATCACTTCCTATCTATAAAGGGAGAAATCAAGGAGTTCAGAAATAAAACATTCTAATGATTCCTGACAACAGTTTGTAATTAATTAGCCACAGTCACTTGACTACCCACAAAACTAGAGAATCTGCTTGTTGTTTAGAACAGGGTTAGTATAGAAAAATCAGCCCCCTGAGTATTACTAAAACTAAAATCTTTCTTAAAATACACAATGACTCAATGAAGGAATATGGCTGTTAGCCAACAATGTCTACTTAAATTCCTAGAATTAGAAATTTCAAAATTTCACATTAAAATATTTAATGAAAGCCGGGTGCGGCGGCTCAAGCCTGTAATCCCAGCACTTTGGGAGGCTGAGGTGGGTGGATCATGAGGTCAAGAGATCGAGACCATCCTGGTCAACATGGTGAAACCCCATCTCCACTAAAAACACAAAAAATTAGCTGGGCATGGTGGCGCGTGCCTGTAGTCCCAGCTACTCAGGAGGCTGAGGCAGGAGAATTGCCTGAGCCCAGGAGGCGGAGGTTGCGGTGAGCCGAGATCGCGCCATTGCACTCCAGCCTGGGTAACAAGAGTGAAACTCCGTCTCAAAAAAAAAAAAAAAAAAAAAAAAATTTAATGAAGCATCTAATTTAATCCATCATCTAACATTTAGAAAATTGCTTCCTGAGTGACAGGAAAAATAAAAACATTGTTTTAATCCTTGAAACTGGGTTAGCAAGCAAATTACAGCATGCAATGAGATAATATGAATAAAACCTACTCTACAATTTTTCACATTTCTTTTAGTGAAAAAGTAAATAACAAGCAAAGACTAATAATTTCTTTCTAATTGACTACGTAACATACCTACACATCCTGATCCTCGCTAAGAATATTGTGGCATCTACAAAAATAGTGTGAATGATTCAACTGCTGGCACAGCCATTTCCACAATGTAAACTCCTTCGATGCTGCTGGCCCAGAGCCTGAGTACTAGGTGTCTGAATGCTGCCAGCCATGCACTTAAATCATTGTCATGTCATCCCCAAAGATACACAGGCCTCTGTAGACCTCATTTGCTCTAACATATGCGAGTGAGTTAGTTTTCCAGTTCCACAGGCCTTTTTGGTACCAGATGCTGACCAAACTGAACGCGTTCCGCATGTTTGCCTGGTATGGTCCCTGTGCTGGACCTCAGCTCAAAGAAGTGTTTTGGTCACTCATTTTGTTCAGATTTCCAAGGTTTCCATTTTTTAAAGTCATCATCGATCCAGGCACATTTATAAAAGGGACCTTGAGCTTGAGATATACGGCAGACACTAAGCACTCATCTTTCTGTCACTCGCCAACCAACAGCATTAAATTACAAAGACCAGCATCACAGCCAGGGTCTCCTTGTCATTAGAGTGTCATCACTCCCTGTAGGAAGAATGTCGGGTGCTTTCAGGACAAAATGCTTACCAATATTGTAATTCCCCCAGCCCTTGAGAATGGGAGGGCAGAAGGATTTCCATTACTTTCCTTCACACCTCAAGTAGAAGGGATAAACTCTTTTACATAAAATCAAGTTCTTGTTTCACATTCACCTTTGAAAATAGAAAAAAATAAAGAAAAATAAAAAGTGTAAATGTACATTTGCCAGCCATGCAAATGGTGTATAAATGTAACAGGTTTATTATGCACAAGTATATAAAATATACTAAATCATTTCCCCACTAAGGTGTCCTAATGTTATCAGAAAGCAGAGAAGTATAAAACTATTAGTAGACAAAGGAGATAGAAACCTCAGATGACTAACCAGATTAGTAGGGCTCACACCGTTTGGATTAACAAACTGCTTGAAAAACCAATTATAATCTTACTTGCTAAAATAGAATAATAGAAATAACCCAGGAAAATGCACTTGCTAAACACTGCAATATTACCTCTGAAGTGCATTGTTCTTGTTGCCAGACAAGGAATCTGGCACATGTGACAATATAAGCAGGTTAGTGGAGCAGTCGTTATAATTTATAACTCTTGGAAATGTTTTAAATGTTATTCAAAGTACAGAGAAGAAAACATCTTAAAAATAAAGAAAACTGATGCTTCAGATAGCTCATCAGCTTAGTAATTCCTAATAGTCTGTATTAACCTATTATTCATCAAACCAAATGAATGACAGTTTAAAAAATAATAAAAATAAATTTACTAAAAATCAGATACTACCTCAGGAATGTGTTGTTCTGTTTCTTCCCAAATTAGTTAGCTGGTACAAATGACAAAATTAGCCCTTCACTGGTCCAGTGGTAAAATTCAGTGGAATTGTAACTCACCCAATCTACAAAGTGTAGCAGAAATTAGGGAAGTTATATAACAAAATTTGTCAAATGGAGTATTTAGTTACAAGCAAATGTAAGAATTCACACTAGACATTCACTAGACCATCCAATGAATGACAAGAAAAATTATTCTTCCATCTTTGACCACTATAAAATATAAACTTTTTATCTGAGACATTAGTCTCAAAGCTTCCCCTGGCATGCCCAATCAAAGTCATTTATTACAACGAGGATATCTCTTCAAACACAATGGAAACCTTTGAGGATGTATGAATATAGCCAGTGATATCTACGTAAAAAAGAATTTGAAATATAATCTAAGTTTATTTGAGGCAGCATACAGTTGAAGCCAGCAAAACAGTGGTTTGCTTTTTGATAAGAAAAACTACAATCAAGAAAACAAGTTTTACAATCCTAGTGGTTGAATTGGCAAGAAAATTAAAATACACCAGAATATTTAACATAGAATACCTTTTTTTTCCAATTTCCATGTAACTGTTTCACTTAACTGAAAATTAAAAGTAAGACCAGGAGCAGTGGCTCACGCCTGTAATCCCAGTACTTTGGGAGGCCAAGACGAGTGGATCACCTGAGGTTGAGAGTTGATACCAGCCAGCCCAACATGGTGAAACTCTGTCTCTACTAAAAATACGAAAATTATCCAGGTATGTTGGCATCCCAGGCTACCTGGGAAGCTGAGGTGGGAGACTCTTGAACCTGGGAGGCAAAGGTTGCAGTGAACCAAGACCATACAACTGCACACCAGCCTGGGCAACAGACTGAGATGTTGTCTCAAAAAAAAAAAAGAAAAGGAAAATCTCACCGTTATCTTTGGATTTGGATGTCGACCCTGTCATTACTCTCATGAGATTGATCATCAACCAGAAAACTCTGCGAGCTCAGACAAATGTATGAATGGCTCAAGGACAGGCACAATAATGTCCATGAGTGCCCAGGGTCTATGAATTGTGCCTATAAATGCTGCCAACCAAGTACAAAGAGAGTTGCTATGTCAAAAAACAGCTGGATATTTACAGACCTGAGAACAATTCATTTGCTCTAACATATGTGGGTCAGTTTGTTTTTCAGTACCCTAAGCCCTGTGAACTCCATCCGCATGTCTGCCTGGCATAGTCCCAGCGCTGGACCTCAGCTCACAGAAGTGGCACAAAAATGATTTGGTCACTCATTTTGTTCAGATTCCGATGAAATCCATTTTTCTAATAGTCATCATCGATCCAGGCACATTTTTAAAAGGGACCTTGAGTCTGAGTTATGTGGCAGACACTGAGCACATTTGTCACTCTGGGACACACTGACCCACGCTATGCAATGATGGAGACCAGCATCACAGTCAATGACCAGCCCACAGTGGACTAGCACAGCCAGGGTCTCATGGTCACCAGAGTGTTAATATTCCCTAAGAGGATATGTTGGTTTGCTCAGGACAAAAGGCTTACCAAAATTAGAGTTCCCACTGGCCCTTGAGGATAGGAGGGCAGCATTTTTCCCAATACTTTTTTTTCTTCTTGTCTTGCCTGAAAGGGAAGGAAAAATTCATCCATATGAAACCCAGTTCTTGGTCTATGTTGTTCTGTAGGAAGAGAGTATGTGTATGAGAATCTGAGACGTACACATGGACATTTTTTAGCCTTGCATAAGACAGGATGTTTCATATGTTATTCAAAGTAGAGAAAAGCATAAAATCTTTTAAAAAAGGAGATTGACGCCTAGCTCATCAGAATATTAATGTCTGAAACAAACTCTTTATAAATTCTTAATTACTTAAAAAAATAAAAAGGCATCACAAAAATAAATTCACTGAAAATTGGATGTTACCTTAGATGTGCATTGGAGTGCTTCCTCACAGCTGTGTTAGCTGGTACAAATGTCAAAATTAGCACTTCACTGGTTTGGCAACGAAATTCCATGGAATTCTATCTTATCCAATCTACAGAGTTCAGGGAAAATTAGGAAAGTTGTGAAACAAAATTTGGTTAATGGACTTACTTTGTTAAGCAGTTACAAGAATTCACATTAGATACTCATTGGACCATCTGTATAACAAGAACAATTATGTTCACATATTTGATTGAAACTTTATGGAAATGATGTTTTCTAAAACATTTGTCCCAAAGGTCCTCCAGCACATACCCTTCAAAACAATTTTTTTAATCTGAGACGGAGTTTCACTCCTGTTGCCCAGGCTGGAGTGCAATGACGTGACCGCGGCTCACTCCAACCTCTACCTCCTGGGTTTGAGCAATTCTTCTCCCTCGGCCTCCTGAGTATCTGGGATTTCAGGAATGTGCCACCAAGCCTAACTAATTTTGTATTTTCAGTAGAGACAGAGTCTCTCCATGTTGGTCAGACTGGTCTCGAACACCAGACCTCAGGTGATCCACCCTTCTTGGCCTTCCCAAGTACTGGCTTTACAGGAATGAACCAACGCACCTGGCCACATTGCAACTTTTAATTAATTAATACAGTGGTCAACCATGGAGGACATATGAAAGCAGCCAATGAAATTCCTGGAAAAATCCAAGACTTTGAAATACACTCCTATCACTTCTAAAAATGTGTGCTCCCAACATGTAGTTGAAACTAGCACTGAGACATGTAACAGCCAGCTTGGTTGATGGAAAAACAAAAAAGAAACAACTGTTTCAGTCTTACTGACTGGGTTGGCAAGCAAATGAAAATATATTACAAGATTTCATATAAGATATTTATTCTTTAATTTCCATGTAATTATTTCACTTAAAAGAAAATGAGAAGTGACAAAACCCACCATTAAAGAGGTGGGACTAGGCTTCACGTTTCAACAAAAAATACAGGAAGCCTAAGTAGCAATGGGACGGTGTTCTTGACCACCCAGCAGCGCCTCCAGGTAAGCGGAAGAGGCGGGCCTAACCTCCCGGTGTAAACAAAAAGACAGAGGAAGCTTACCCAGTAACCTGAAGGAGTCCCTAGAAACCCTAGCAAGGCAGTCCAACATTCAAATCCAAGAAATACAATAGTGCCTAGACAGGCAGACGAGTGACCTCATCAAGCAGCTCCCTGAGATCACAGTCCGGTAAATCCACTAAGATGGGAAAAAAAAAAAAAAAAAGCGTAAGAAAGATGAAACCATCAAAGACCAGAGCATCTCTTCTCCTTCGAGGGATCACAACTCCTCAGTGACATGGGAACCTAACATGACTGAGAAAGAGTGCAACGAACTGGGAGAAACAGGCTTCAGAAGGTGGATAATAACAAACTTCAGGTTAGACAAAATGCTAACTGGAATAACCGCCTTAGAGAAGAACATAAATGACTTGATGGAGTTGAAAAATACAGCACAAGAACTATGTGAAGCAAACACAGGTTTTAATAGCCGAATCGAACAAGTAGAAGAAAGGATATCAGATATTGAAGATCAACTCAATGAAATAAAAAGAAAAGGCAAAACAACAGAAAAAAGAGTGAAAAGGAACGAACAAAGCCTCCAAGAAATATGAGATTATGTGAAAATACCTAATCTATACTTGATCAATGCACCTAAATATGATGGGGAGAATGAATCTAAGCTGGAAAACACACTCCAGAATATTATCCAGGAGAACTTCCCAAGCCTAGCAAGGCAGTCCAACATTCAAATCCAAGAAATACAGAGAACCCCACAAAGATATTCCTCAGGAAAAGCAACCCCAAGGCACCTAACTGTCAGATTCACCAGGGCTGAAATGAAGGAAAAAAATGCTAAGGGCAGCCAGAGAGAAAGGTCAGGTCACCCACAGATGGAAGCCAATCAGATTCACAGCAGATCTCCTAGCAGAAACTCTACAAGCTAGAAGAGAGTGGAGGCCAATATTCAACATGCTTAAAAAAGAAAGAGGATGAGTTCATTTCCTTTGTAGGGACTTGGATGAATCTGAAAACCATCATTCTCAGCAAACTGACACAAGAAGAGAAAACGAAGTATCGCATGTACTCACTCATAGGTGGGTGCTGAACAGTGAGAACACATGGACTCAGGGAGAGGAGCATCACACACTGGGGGCTGTTGAGGAGGGACAGCGGCGGGTGGGAAGTGTGGGGAGGGATAACATGGGGGGAAATGCAGGATATAGTATGCACCTATACAGCAACCCTGCAGGACCTGCACATGTACCCCAGAACCTAAAGTAAAATAAATAAATAAATAGGAAAAGAACTTTCAACACAGAATCTCATATCCAGCCAAACTAAGCTTCGTAAGTGAAGGAGAAATAAAATCCTTTATGGACAAGCAATTACGGAGAGATTTCATTATCACCAGACCTGTCCTACAAGAGCTCCTGAAAGAAACACTAAGCACAGAAAGGAACAAGTACTAGCCACTGCAAAAGCACACCAAATGGCAAAGACCAAAAATGCAATGCAGAAACCGAGTCAACCAATGGGCAAGAAATCCAGCCAGTAACAAAATGGCAGGATCAAATTCACACATAACAATATTAACATTGAATGTAAACGGTCTAAACACCCCAAGCAAAAGACACAGACTGGCAAACTGGATAAAACGTCAAGACCCATCAGCGTGTTGTATTCAGGAAACCCATCTTACAGACAAAGACACACATAGACTCAAAATAAAGGGATGGAAGAAGATTTATCAAGCAAATAGGGAACAAAAAAAAAAGCAGGGGTTGCAATCCTAGCCTCTGATAAAATGGACTTCAAACCAACAAAGATCAAAAGAGACAAAGAAGGGTATTACATAATGGTAAAAGGATCAATCCAACAAGAAGAGCTAACTATCCTAAATATATATGCACCCAAAACAAGAGCACCCAGATATATAAAACAGTTCTTAATGACCTAAAACAGGATTCAGACTCCCACACAGTAATAGCAGGAGACTTCAACACTCCACTGTCAATATTAGATCAATGGAACAGAAAATTTACAAGGATATCCAGGACTTGAATGCAGAGCTGGACCAAGCAGACCTGATAGATATTTACAGAACATTCCACTCCAAATCCACAGAATATACATTCTTCTCAGCACCACATCACACTTACTCAAAAATTGACCACATAATTGGAAGCAAATCGCTCCTCAGCAAATGCAAAAGAACAGAAATCATAACAAACAGTCTATCAGACCACAGCACAATCAGATTAGATCTCAGGATTAAGAAACACACTCAAATCTGCACAACCACTTGGAAACTGATCAACTTGCTTCTGAGTGTCCACTGGATAAACAATGAAATGAAGGCAGAAATCAAGATGTTCTTTGAAACCAATTAGAATGAAGACACAACTTACCAGAATCTCTGGAACACCTTTAAAGCAATGTTGAGAGGGAAATTTACAGCAATAAATGCCCCCATAAGAAACAAGGAAAGATCTAAAATTGGCACCCTATCATCAAAATTGAAAGAGATGGAGGAGGTAGATCAAAACATCTCAAAAGCTAGCAGAAGACAAGAAATAACTAAGATCAGAGCAGAACTGAAGGAGATAGAGACACAAAAAGCCCTTCAAAAAAAATCAGTAAATCCAGGAGATGGTTTTTGAAAAGACCAAAAAAATAGTCCACTAGCCAGAAAAATAAAACAGACAAGAGAGAAGAATCAAACAGATGCAATAAAAAAAGACAAAGGGGATATCGCCATTGATCCCACATAAATACAAATTTCCTACCATCAGCGATCACTACAAACGGCTCTATGCACATAAACCAGTAAACCAGGAAAAAATGGATAAATTGCTGGACACTTGTACTCTACCAAGACTAAACCAGGAGGAACCCTGAATAGACCAACAAGGGCTGATGTTGAGGCAGCAATCAATAGCCTATCACCCAAAAAAAAGTTCAGGTCCAGACTGGTTCTCAGTTGAATTCTACTAGACGTACAAAGAGGAGCTGGTACCATTCCTTCCGAAACTGTATCAAACAATACAAAAAGAGGGAATCCTCCCTAACTTATTTTATGAGACCAACATCATCCTGATACCAAAACCTGGCAGAGACTCAACTAAAAAAGAAAACTTCAGGTCAACATCCATGATGAACATCGATGCAAAAACCTTCAATAAAATACTGGCAAACTGAATTCAGCAGCACATCAAAAAGCTTATTCATCATGATCAAGTAGGCTTCATCCTGGGGATGCGAGGCTGGTTCAACGTAAGTTCATAAACGTAATCCATCACATAAACAGAACCAAAGAGAAAACCACATGATTATCTCAATAGATGTAGAGAAAGCCGTTGACAAAATTAAACAGTGCTTTATGCTAAAAACTCTCAATAAACTAGGTATTGATGGAACATATCATAAAATGATATAAGCTACTTATGACAAACCTACAGCCAGTATCATACTGAACAGGCAAAAGCTGGCCCTTTGAAGTCAGGCACTAGATAAGGATGCCCTCTCTCACCACTCCTATACAGTATCATATTAGAAGTTCTAGCCAGAGGTATTAGGCAAGAAAAAGAAATAAGGCATATTTAGTTAGCAAAGGAGGAAGTCAAACTGTCTCTGTTTGCAGACGACATGATTGTATATTTAGAAGACCCCACTGTCTCAGCCCAAAATCTTCTCAAACTGACAAGCAACTTGAGCAAAGTCTCGAGATACAAAATCAATGTGCAGACATCACAAGCATTCCGATATACCAATGACAAACAGAGAGCCAAATCAAGAGCAAACTCCCATTCACAATTGCTACAAAGAGAATAAAACACCTAGGAATACAACAAACAAAGGATGTAAAGGACCTCTTCAAGGAGAACTACAAACCACTGCTAAACAAAATAAGAGAGGACACAAAGAGATGGAAAAACATTCCATGCTCATGGTTAGGAAGAATCAATACCGTGAAAATGGCCATACTGCCCAAAGTACAGATTCAATGGTATCCCCAGCAAGATACCAATGACCTTCTTCACAGAACTGGAAAAAACCACTTTAAACTTCATACGGAATCACAAGAGATTCTACATAGCCAAGACAATCCTAAGCAAAAAGAACAAAGTTGGAGGCATCACACTGCCGGACTTCAAACTATACTACAAGGCTACAGTAATCAAAACAGCATGGTACTAGTACCAAAACAGAGTCATAGACCAATGGAACAGAAGAGAGGCCTCAGAAGCAACACCACACATCTACAACCATCTGATCTTTGACAAACCTGACAAAAACAAGCAATGGGGAAAGGACTCAATGTTTAATAAATGGTGTTGGGAAAACTGGCTAGCAGTGTGCAGAAAGCAGAAACTGGACCCCTTCCTGTCACCTGACACTAAAATTAACTCCAGATAGATTAAAGGTTTAAACATAAAACCTAATACCATAAAAACACCATAAGAAAACATAGGCAAAACCATCGAGGACATAGGCATAGGCAAGGCCTTCATGACTAAAACACCAAAGGCAAACGCAACAAAAGCCAACACAGACAAATGAGATCTAATTAAAATTCAGAGCTTCTGTACAGCAAAAAAACCATCATTAGAGTGAACTGGCAACCAACAGAATAGGAAAAAATTTTTGCAGTCTACCCATCTGACAAAGGGCTAATATCCAGAATCTACAAAGAACTAAAACAAATATAGAAGAAAAAAACACCCCCATACAAAAGTGGGCGAAAGATATGGACACTTTGCACTTTGCAAAAGAAGACATATATGAGGCCAACAAACACATGAAAAAATGCTCATCATCACTGGTCATTAGAGAAATGCAAATCAAAACCACACTGAGATATCATCTCATGCTAGTTAGCATGGTGAACATTAAAAAATCTGTAGATAACAGATGCTGGAGAGGCTGTGGAGAGAAAGGAACACTCTTACACTGTTGGTCGGAGTGTAAATTAGTTAAACCATTGTGGAAGACAGCGTGGCAATTTCTCAAGAATCTAGAAATAGAAATTCCATTTGACCCAGCAATCCCAATACTGGGTATATACCCAAAGAACTATAAATCAT